GACTGTACCTAGCCAATGTCTATTGACACGACTGTACCTAGCCATTGTATATTGACACGACTGTACCTAGCCAATGTCTATTAACACGACTGTACCTTACCAATGTCTATTGACACGACTGTACCTTACCAATGTCTTTAGACACGACTGTTCCTAGCCAATGTCTATTGACACGACAGTACCAAACCAGTTCAACTGTATCGTGCCCTATACTGTCTCACTATCAGCATTGTGTCTCTGGGACCGGCGCAACCAATCGGATGAAATGAATAAAAAATTTCCCAATTAGAAAATTGAAGCACATTTGGGCGTGTTGCTCTCACAGCCCGGCGTGATTGCCGGGGTGAGAGATTAGACGGCCTCACTGCTCACCAACACAAACGTCGCGCGACATCAGCGGCGCGTGCCGGACACGTGTTTGCCTAGCAACACAGGGACGCCGCAATCTGTCGGCACGGAAGTCCAGCCTCAAGTGCTTGCCTATAGAGATAACCCCGGGGGGGGGGGGGGGGGGACTCGGGCAAGTCTTATCTTCAAGTTTCGTGTTCGTTTACTCATAACGTCTAGGTGCCGCAGTGGGACAGGCAGTGGCAATAACTCAACAGTGTCACCAACTGTCACAAGTCACCAACTGTCACAAGTCACCAACTGTCACAAGCCACCAACTGTCACAAGTCACCAACTGTCACAAGTCACCAACTGTCACAAGTCACCAACTGTCACAAGTCAGCATCTGTCACAAGTCACCAACTGTCACAAGTCACCAACTGTCACAAGTCACCAACTGTCACAAGTCACCAACTGTCACAAGTCACCAACTGTCAATTGTCACCAACTGTCACAAGTCACCAACTGTCATAATTCACCAACTGTCAATTGTCACCAACTGTCATAAATCACCAACTGCCAATAGGTCACTCTCTGTGTCTGACGACTTCTTGGGATTTTGTTGACAACATTGTTGTCTATGTATCACCTGTGTCACCAGCTGAGTCACCCGAAGTGTATCACCCCTCATTTACCTACTGGACTACAGTTATATGTATGTGTTAAAAAGTCACTACCTCTCTAGGGCATATCTCACCACCTCGCTAGGGCATATCTTACCACCTCGCTAGGCATATCTCACCGTCTCGCTAGGGCATATCTCACCACCTCGCTAGGCCATATCTCACCACCTCGCTAGGGCATATCTCACCACCTCGCTAGGGCATATCTCACCACCTCGCTAGGGCATATCTCACCACCTCGCTAGGGCATATCTCACCACCTCGCTAGGGCATATCTCACCACCTCGCTAGGGCATATCTCACCACCTCGCTAGGGCATATCTCACCACCTCGCTAGGGCATATCTCACCACCTCGCTAGGGCATATCTCACCACCTCGCTAGGGCATATCTCACCACCTCGCTAGGGCATATCTCACCACCTCGCTAGGGCATATCTCACCACCTCGCTAGGGCATATATCTCACCACCTCGCTAGGGCATATCTCACCACCTCGCTAGGGCATATCTCACCACCTCGCTAGGGCATATCTCACCACCTCGCTAGGGCATATATCTCACCACCTCGCTAGGGCATATATCTCACCACCTCGCTAGGGCATATCTCACCACTTCTCTAGGGCATTTCTCACCACCTAACTAGGACATATCTCACCACCTCGCTAGGGCATATCTCACCACCTCGCTAGGGCATATCTCACCACCTTGCTAGGACATATCTCACCACCTCGCTAGGGCATATCTCACCACCTCGCTAGGGCATATCTCACCACCTCGCTAGGGCATATCTCACCACCTCGCTAGGGCATATCTCACCACCTTGCTAGGACATATCTCACCACCTCGCTAGGCATATCTCACCACCTCGCTAGGGCATATCTCACCACTTCGCTAGGGCATATCTCACCACATCGCTAGGGCATATCTCACCATTTCGCTAGGGCATATCTCACCACCTCGCTAAAGCATATCTCACCACCTCGCTAGGGCATATCTCACTATCTCTCTCGGGCATATCTCACCACCTCGCTAGGGCATATCTCACCACCTCGCTAGGGCATATCTCACCACCTTGCTAGGACATATCTCACCACCTCGCTAGGCATATCTCACCACCTCGCTAGGGCATATCTCACTATCTCTCTCGGGCATATCTCACCACCTCGCTAGGGCATATCTCACCACCTCGCTAGGGCATATCTCACCACCTCGCTAGGGCATATCTCACCACCTTGCTAGGACATATCTCACTATCTCTCTCGGGCATATCTCACCACCTCGCTAGGGCATATCTCACCACCTCGCTAGGGCATATCTCACCACCTCGCTAGGGCATATCTCACCACCTCGCTAGGGCATATCTCACCACCTCGCTAGGGCATATCTCACCACCTCGCTAGGGCATATCTCACCACCTCGCTAGGGCATATCTCACCACCTCGCTAGGACATATCTCACCATCTCGCTAGGGCATATCTCACCACCTAACTAGGACATATCTCACCACCTTGCTAGGGCATATCTCACCACCTCGCTAGGGCATATCTCACCACCTCGCTAGGGCATATCTCACCACCTCGCTAGGACATATCTCACCATCTCGCTAGGGCATATCTCACCACCTCGCTAGGGCATATCTCACCACCTCGCTAGGACATATCTCACCATCTCGCTAGGGCATATCTCACCACCTCGCTAGGGCATATCTCACCACCTCGCTAGGGCATATCTCACCACCTCGCTAGGGCATATCTCACCACCTTGCTAGGGCATATCTCCCCACCTCGCTAGGGCATATCTCACCACCTCGCTAGGGCATATCTCACCACCTCGCTAGGACATATCTCACCATCTCGCTAGGGCATATCTCACCACCTCGCTAGGGCATATCTCACCACCACGCTAGGGCATATCTCACTCCCTCTTTAAGGCATATCTCACCATCTCTCTACGGGATCTGCCCTACCATGCAAGGTCCATGCAAAAAACTGCGCCAGATGTACAAATGAACCCTAAAAAACTTTTTAAAAAATGATTATGTTTATATAAGGAAATAGGCCTCTGGTTAAATTTGACCCCTCGTGGAGATTTTTTCCCGATTTATAGCGTATATAAGGCGCTGGTCAGTTGTGGTCAGTTTTCACTCATTCATCGTGGACTTTTTGACCAATCAGCATTTGTCCCTTGTTCTGTCGCCTGCTGTACCGGCAAGTGTCCTAAACGACTTTTGACCACTTTATATTTCTAGATATAGCCACACACAACAGGGTAGCCACTAGCCACAAACACCAGGCTAGCCACTAGCCACAAACACCAGGCTAGCCACTAGCCACAAACACCAGGCTAGCCACTAGCCACAAACACCAGGGTAGCCACAAACACCAGGGTAGCCACTAGCCACAAACACCAGGGTAGCCACTAGCCACAAACACCAGGGTAGCCACTAGCCACAAACACCAGGGTAGCCACTAGCCACAAACACCAGGGTAGCCACTAGCCACAAACACCAGGGTAGCCACTAGCCACAAACACCAGGGTAGCCACTAGCCACAAACACCAGGGTAGCCACTAGCCACAAACACCAGGGTAGCCACTAGCCACAAACACCAGGGTAGCCACTAGCCACAAACACCAGGGTAGCCACTAGCCACAAACACCAGGGTAGCCACTAGCCACAAACACCAGCCACTAGCCACAAACACCAGGGTAGCCACTAGCCACAAACACCAGGGTAGCCACTAGCCACAAACACCAGGCTAGCCACAAACACCAGGGTAGCCACTAGCCACAAACACCAGGGTAGCCACTAGCCACAAACACCAGGCTAGCCACAAACACCAGGGTAGCCACTAGCCACAAACACCAGGCTAGCTACAAACACCAGGGTAGCCACTAGCCACAAACACCAGGGTAGCCACTAGCCACAAACACCAGGGTAGCCACAAACACCAGGGTAGCATGGCGAGCCACTACAGACCAGACCTAACATTAGAGCAGGTCATGGCATGTCGACAGTTTCTGGTCACGTGACATCTATTGTCCGGCCTTGACCGCTGGTCACAACACGTCCGTCTTGTGTCTGTCCTCATGTCCACATGTACTTAGCGCTAATAATAGACCCGTCTGTTTACTAGATTGGTGTGGGCGGGGCCCGTGACAAATGACACGTGCTGCCATTATACACCTACAATGGACCGCATTCGTTTTCTCTCACCCCGCGGGGTGGACCTTGTTTGCCTAAACAAGGGTGCCAGGGTCGCGCCCCGTGCACCCCTCTATTGTAGCCGCATGTAAAGTAGGCGCCCCAACAACACCTAGCCCCGCCCACCCTGCACGTGCTGCAGGTACTAGTGTGTGCACTCACGCTCAGTGCACACAACTCAGCCTTGTATATGGGACGTCTCCACGCGATCCCAACACGCATGCGCAAGATTGGTAGCTACTTCTGACCAACTGACCCTCGCTGGCTAGTGGGGGAAAGTATCGAGCACAAGGTCACGTGACCTCATGCAAGGTCATAGCGCCTCCTGCCGGGGATTAGGTCTAATTAAAAGGTTTCGTCTTCTTAGAAAAATCAATATATTATATTTCACCGGGGGTGGGGGCGTGGTACTACGGGTGGGGAGGGAGGGTGGAGGCAAACACTGACAGATGGCGGCAGACGACGACTTGGAGCTTACTGGCTACCACGATCATTTGCATAATAACCGGCCCCAGTGCGCATGCGCGGGGAGCAGAAGTGTCAGGGGCGATCAGGATTTTAAAAGTTGCCCACGTGATCTCACATTGGCACAGTCATAAAGCTGGGAGCTGATTAACAGCATTCGAGATAGCGCTCACTCTCTGGATAGTGGCCAGCCAGTAGCCAGTAGCCAGTAGCTAGTAGACAGTAGCCAGTAGATAAAATGTATGTTAAAAAAATTAAAAGGAAAGAAGTAGAAAAATAAATATTACAAAAACCACGTGATACACCCATGACTGCAAGAATCTATTGGGAATATAATTAGCTCGTCTGCTGTTGTCATTCTGATGTAAGTACTCACCCAGTTAACATTTTCTGTCATCATCTGCACGTTTCTATCTCTGACCTGTACTCTATGGGCGCTACATTTACTGTCATCTAAACTTTGTTTTGTCTCATCTGTGTGTTATAACTTTTTTATTGTCTAGTCTACGGGTGAGATATTCAAACCAAAGAAATGTAACCGATGTTTACTTACTCGAAGTGATGCTTATTCGAAAGTGTATCTTTTTCTTTTTACTTTCTCGTATACACGAAGTATAGAGAAAGTCTTGTAATCGTGCACAAAAATTGCATGAAATTTTGGCAGTTTTCACCGTTTTACACCTCAGTCCTTCATCACATCCGGAGTATAGAGGACTTTTTTTAATCAGGCAAAAATTATAAATACAAATATATAAACATTTTGGCGTCTTATGCGATATCGAGTCGGAAAAACTGGACTTTGCAATTCTGTCCGTATGTCTGTGTGTCTGTGTGTCTGTCTGTGTGTAAACACGATAACTTGAGTACCGTTACAGCTAGGTTGATGAAATTTCATATATAAGTATTTTATCAAAATCGTAGATCCTGATCAACTTTTGAGCGATTTCCGATAACCGGAAGTGGTACTTTTTCTACTTTGAATTTTTCAAAAGCCTATAGCTTGCGTACTATTTTAGATAGATGCATGAAATTTTACACGTAAGTAAAAGATCTAATTCCCTACCTTCTTTCAGATTTTGAGTAATGTCCGTTGACCGGAAGTACTAATTTACGCTATTTCTGATTTCCCAAAAAACGCATGTAAATTTATAAAGTGCTAATAATATCCCGCACTTTTATGCATATTTTATTAGGCGTTCACTTGGTGTGGGACGGAGTGGTCTAGCGGTAGAGAACTGGACTGCTAACCCATTAGTCTCGAGTTCGAATCCGGGTTCAAGTCAGTAGACCGTCGCTGAGTCCACCTAACTCCTGTTAGGGAAAGTAAAGGCGGCTGGGCATAGTGCTGACCACACTATCTATGCATATGCCGAGGTCACAGAAACAATTGAACTCTACTTCACTTTCCCCATAGACCGTCAGGTTTGAAAGGGAAACTTTTCACTTGGTGTGCCATTCTTTTTTTTTACGAGATTCTATTCTATTATAAAAAGTTTAAGTAATTAAAAATGGATTACAAATATTGTCTATGTCTTGAGTTGCCATCCCTCGTAATTTTATATTAGAATATTCGAGAAAGTTTAGGGGAGATCACTCCCGGTTTATTTTTTTTTTAAAGTTTGTCTGTTGTTTAATTTCATTTTGTGTACTATATTTGCATGCATTTCTAAAAGTCTAGTAGACAACAGGCCTTTTATAGGGTGAAAACCAATTTTATTTTAGAAAACATATAAAACTCAATGATGACTTTAACTCAATGATGACTTTAACTCAATGATGACTTTAACTCAATGATGACTTTAACTCAATGATGACTTTAACTTCATGTATTACAAATTGATCTGGCAATAATTTACTTTGACTTTTTATCTAACGAGGGCTTTGTATCGAGATGTTTTAAAACATCTTGATGTTTCACTTAACATCACAATATATAACAATCGCAACTGAAAGTTCAATTATTTTCAAGATGAATAAACTGAAATAGAAATCTCGCCCAATATAACCCAGCTTATTATAGCACTCATATGATTTACCAGATCTTTGTGTTGTGTACAATATGTTTGACATTTCATCGTCCAACTGATGTTTTTATTTTTTATTTTTTTACAACCGATTCAAATGATGTGCACGCGACCGTAAGTTGAACCTACACAGGCACACGTCCAGCCGCCCGGGTGTAATTAGCATGAAAGTTTTCTGACTCACTGTTAAGTGAATTAAACTCATCGGGTGCATGAGGTACTCACAGGGCTGGGGTGGGGGGAGGCTGGGCGGGGCTGGAAATTAACCCCCCTCCCCCGGGACTCCCAATCAGTTTTGGGCAGGAAGTTGACATGATCTTTAAGCAAGACAGAAATAGAACCCGCGAGCACAAAGCGGAAGTGCGGACATGTTGGTGGGCCAATGTTTACTGTGGTCTCAGGATAAGGCCCAGATATTTCATACACACAGCTTTGGGATAACAGTTTCAGGATACTTTTAGGATAACAATTTTAGGATACTTTTGGGATAAAAATTTTAGGATACTTTTAGGATAACAATTTCAGGACAATTTTAGGATAACTAAGATGACTGGAGGATAAGTTTATTCACAAACAACACTTGAAAACAGAATATCTTAAGGATTCACAGTAGAATGACTATGTTTTTAAAATACGTTGTGAAAAACAAATGTATGTATGAGCATTAGTATCCCTAAAACTGCTCTTTGTAAATAAATTGTGTGTGTTAAAAAAGTTTGTGGCACACTAGTTTGACGAACTGGGTTTGATCTTTATTGTCGACATAGATAAATACAAAAAAAAAAAAAAAAAACAATTCGTAAGCCGTAAGAAAAACTTGGAAATGTAATAGTTTTAGAATCAACGGTACAAAAGCTGCTTATGCAAACAACATGAAAATTATTTTTAAAAATAATATTAAAGTCTTCATTACTATTATGTTTCATCCAGCCTAAATTTTAACTGAAAGTTTCGCTTTCGTAAGACAAACATTGATTGGCTGTTCAGAACTAGGTGATCGATCTTATGAAAACCCCACTCGGCTGTAATTTGTACTCAAAACTTTGCCGATACAGCTTTTTTATACAATTTTTTTTTTAAATCCACATGTCCTAAATATGCCAAGTTTAATTACATTTTCAGTGATAAAATGAAAACTATATTGTTTTTGGCTTTTTAAAAATTATGTTTAGTTAACAAAATACTAAAACCATCAAATACATCCGTCTTTAGTAAAGTCTGACTTCAACATAAAGTTTTTATAACCACATTTATTTTGATATGATTTTTAAAGTAGTTAATTAATTAATGATTCTAGACTATTCACGCTGTATTCGTTGATAAGAATTTTTTTTATTAGACTTCATCTTGAGAATTGATTCACATTCATTGACTCGATTTGATCACATTTTACTTGAAAGATCTCTCTAGACTTTGTGTTTGGTTGATCTTAGACTCAGCTGAAAATTGTGAATGTTTTATGTTAGACACACGCTCCGCTGAAAATTGTGAATGTTTTATGTTAGACACAGACTCCGCTGAAAATTGTGAATGTTTTATGTTAGACACAGACTCCGCTGAAAATTATGAATGTTTTATGTTAGACACAGACTCCGCTGAAAATTGTGAATGTTTTATGTTAGACACAGACTCCGCTAAAAATTGTGAATGTTTTATGTTAGACACAGACTCCGCTGAAAATTGTGAATGTTTTATGTTAGACACAGACTCCGCTGAAAATTGTGAATGTTTTATGTTAGACACAGACTCCGCTAAAAATTGTGAATGTTTTATGTTAGACACAGATTCCGCTGAAAATCTTTGGCATGAGTTCAGCGGGGCTAGTCTGTGATGTGGCGTGTGGCGATGTGGCGTGTGGTCTATGTTAGCAGAAAGTGAAGGACTTTATAGAGCTGTGTCCTTTTCTTTTTGGATTTTTTTTCTAAAGAACAAACTACAAGCCAGAAGTTTTTATTTTGGAGTTTTCTCTCCTAGAAGAGTTGCTGTGTCTAGCTGTCGAGCCTCATTTGCCCGAGGGTTCGAACTCGGGACTTTTCGGTTTAATTTACCAACTCGACCACAACGGCCCCTTTTCCGTTAGCCAAACTATCCAAAATAATGTGTATGTTTCCGTAACAGCATAAATGTGAAAGTAAAAACCAAAACATCTAAAGTAATTACCGAAGTTACACTTTGAATGAAAGCAGAGCTAAGACTACTCAGACAGCAGCTAGTGTTCTGGCCATCTCAACACAGATAAAAGTTTACTAAAGTGATCTCTTAATCCCTAGAGTCATAGAGTCCTAGTGTCCTAGTCCTAGAGTCCTAGAGTCCTAGAGTCCTAGAGTCCTAGAGTCCTAGTCCTAGTCCTAGTCCTAGTCCTAGAGTCCTAGTCCTAGAGTCCTAAAGTCCTTGAGTCCTAGAGTCCTAGTCCTAGAGTCCTAGAGTCCTAGAGTCCTAGTCCTTGATTCCTTGAGTCCTAGTCCTAAAGTCCTAGAGTCCTAAAGTCCTAGTCCTAGAGTCCTAGTCCTTGAGTCCTAAAGTCCTAGAGTCCTAAAGTCCTAGAGTCCTAGAGTCCTAGTCCTAGAGTCCTTAAGTCTTAGAGTCCTACTTCTAAAGTCCTAGAGTCCTAGAGCCTGTTAGAAACTAATAAGTTCGTGGCTGTCAAATGCTATTTTATAAGATTTTATGTAGGTCATAACGTCCGTCTGTGTGTCCTGTGGGGTGCCTTCTGTCAGTCTGATTGAGCCAAATTTTGTAAGTCCATTTGAATCACTTCCTTCGTCTCAAAAAACAACGCAAGAATATCTAGCCAGATTGGATATTAAATTAGTCATTACAAGTTTATTTAAAGATTTCACTATTCAGGATTAACTAGACAGATAACAGGATTAACTAGAAGGTAACAGGATTAACTAGAGAGATAACAGGATTAACTAGACAGATAACAAGATTAAGAAGGGAGGTAACAGGATTAACTAGAAGGCAACAGGATTAACTAGACAGATAACAGGATTAACTAGAAGGTAACATGATTAACTAGAGAGATAACAAGATTAAGAAGGGAGATAACAGGATTAACTAGAAGGCAACAGGATTAACTAGACAGATAACAGGATTAACTATAAGGTAACATGATTAACTAGAGAGATAACAAGATTAAGAAGGGAGATAACAGGATTAACTAGAAGCGATATTTATATCGCTCAGATGACGGCGTTAAGCTGGTGGTCACGGATGATTTCACGTCTGAAGCTGACCACGGATAAGTGATCGATAATTGTTTGATAGAGCTAAGAACGCAAGCTTATGTTCGGATTGTAAAGCAAATATTCTCAGTTGTTGACTCATATGTGGGTGGTGACTTTATTTAGAACAAAAGGAATGAAAAAAGTTTTTATTGTTTATTCGAAGTCACCACTAAGTAGAAAATAAAACAAGTATAAAAATCTTGGAAATAATTTGAGCTTAAATGAAGAAAATAAAACTAAATTTCTTTTCCTGGTAGAATAATGTTTAAAAAGTATTTTATATTTGTTTTATTACACAAGTAAAGTTAGTAAACAGGCGAATTATACATGATAATTTTTTAGGCAATTAAACATACGAAAAAAGTTCATTTGGCCAGTTAAATATTTGAATAATTTGGCAAATTAAACATATGAATAAGTGCATTTGGTCTAATAAACAATAGAATTAATTCATTTGGCCAGGAAAGTATTTAAAAAAGTTGGTCAATTAAACATTTGAATTAATTAATTTAGTTACGTCAAACCTATAAATCAATTCATTTGGCCACTTAAATATTTGAATAATTTCATTTGGCCAATTAAATATTTGAATAATTTCATTTGGCCACTAAAATGTTGTTTCACTTGCCTAGATTGTCCGGACAATATTTTTTTTTTCACCAAATCGTCAATTAAAATATTTTTTTAAAACCAGCGGGCTTGTAAAATGGAAGATTTTTATTTTATTGACCAAATAGTCTTGTAAAATGGAAGATTTTTATTTTATTGACCAAATAGTCTTGTAAAGTGGAAGATTTTTATTTTACTGAACAGTCTTTTAAAATGGAAAATTTAAATTTGATCGACCAGCCGGGCTAGAGACAGGAAATTATATTTGTGGGAAAAGACTGAGTGAAGAATGTATTTGTGTGACTAAATAAAAGGCGAACGAACGAGAAGACATCAGGATAACATTGTCTGTTTACTGTTGTCTGTAGTAGGGGGGATTAAAGGGCGATAACAAACATAGAACCTGATTTCTCTCTAACTTCGGCCATGTTGAAATAATTTAAACTTGTCATAACATGGATTATGTGGATACAGCCAGATAACAGTGGATCGCTGGCCTGATGCTGGATAAGATGGATTAGGTGTTGATGTTTAAACAAGGCTGGCACCTAATCCACCACATAATCCAACGTGTCGCGGCCTCCCAAAAGAACCTGCTTTATCGCGGGCTGGGGTGTTAGCTCGCGTGACGTGGCTGTCGTCTGCTACACCGGCCCTGTTGTCGGGTTCAATGATTGTTGTCGTTGTGATGCTCTCGTTCTCTTTCTCTCTCTCACACTCTCTTATTGCCTGGTAGGACTTACAATAAACTCAGATAAAATTCACACCAAACCCACACGAAGCTCACAATATAATCATACCAATCTTACACGACATAAAAACCACATTTTATCTTCCCCAGATTTAACCACGAGTTGATGTAAGCCACCGGACGTGACGTCACTTCCTGTCGCTGACCACCAGACCCAGGATGCCCATCAAGTCCAGCGACAGCGACTCTCTGTCTGACCAGTTCATTGACCTCTACGACGACGATGACGACGATGACGACGACGAGCTGCTTTCCTCAGAGGTCGATGACCTCCCCGACTCGACCACGGGGGAGGACGGGGTCAAAGATGGCGGACACTCCAGCCCAGATGGGAGGAAGAGGAAAGCCGAGAGTCAGGACGAGGGTAGCGGTCAACGAAAACGAGGCCCGAAGAAAAAAGCTTTGACCAAAACGAGACAGGTCAAACTCAAAGTCCGCAGGGTCAAGGCCAATGCCCGTGAACGCAACCGGATGCACGGTTTGAACTCTGCACTGGATGAACTCAGGAACCACGTGCCGTGCCACTCCAAGACGCAGAAGTTGTCCAAGATCGAGACGCTCCGTCTGGCCAGGAACTACATCCACGTGCTGGCGGAGATCCTCAAGTCCGGCATCCGGCCCGACAGCGTCAGCTTCGCCAAGGCCCTGTCACGTGGTCTCTCCCAGAACACGATGAACATGGTGGCCGCCTGCCTGCAGCTCAACCCCCGCACCCTGCTGCCAGAGTCGGCCTACGCCCAGCCCTACCAGTTCATGTACGAGAACTCTCTGGACATGACGTCACGCTACCCCCCTGACCCGTACGCCATGTTCGCCCTCCAGCCCCTTGGCTGCCGCGCCGAGATGCCGGGCAGCCAGCAGACGTTCGGACAGTGCCAACAGGTCATGCCGTACACCAGCGTGGAGGGCTCCCCCGACCCCCTCACGCCCTACCCGTTCTCCCCGCCCGAGCCGCCGCGAAACTTCCTCCCCCCGGGCTTTGAGCCCATCAGCAGCTCGTGCGCCATCGGGAATTTCCTGAGCTGCGAGCTACGGGAGCCGGACAGCCTGGCCGCCGTGGGCGAGAGGCGCCGGGCCACCCCGCGGCCCTCCACCCGGCCCGCGGGTCTCTCCCCCTCGGCCCGGGGCCCCCAGTCTCCCCGCTCCTCCTGCTCGCACTTCTCCCAAGGCAGCAGTGACCTGACCCCCAGCGCCCACATGCGACCTCTGACCCCGGGCGCCCCACCTGAGACGACCTTGACCCTGCCAGCGAGCAGACGAGAAGGTGAGCAGCCGTCCTGCAGACAGTCTTGCTTCCTGCCCGCCCACCTGGGCAGCCGCCTGGCACCCACCTGCTCACCTGCCGTGTCCAGCGGGTTCAATGACCTCACGCCAGAGAACATCTTGGACAATGACCTTGCCATGATCACGTCATCTGATGCCATCTTCCAGCTCAACCTTCACTGTTAAATCACGGAGCTTAGACTCTCTTGAGCTCTGGAGCTTAGATCTTCACTGTTAAATGACGGAGCTTAGACCTTCAATGTTAAATGACGGAGCTTAGACCTTCAATGTTAAATGACGGAGCTTAGACTCTCTTGAGCTCTGGAGCTTAGACCTTCACTGTTAAATGACGGAGCTTAGACTCGGGTTGAGCTCTGGAGCTTAGACCTTCACTGTTAAATGACGGAGCTTAGACTCGGGTTGAGCTCTGGAGCTTAGACCTTCACTGTTAAATGACGGAGCTTAGACTCGGGTTGAGCTCTGGAGCTTAGACCTTCACTGTTAAATGACGGAGCTTAGACTCAGTTGAGCTCTGGAGATTAGACCTTCACTGTTGAATGGTGGAGCTTAGACTCTCTTGAGCTCTGGAGCTTAGACCTTCACTGTTAAATGGTGGAGCTTAGTGCCTTCACTGTTGAGCGCTTGAACTTAGACCTCCACTTTTAAATGCTGGAGCTTAGACTTTTTTGAGCTCTGGAGCTTAGACCTTTACTGTTGAGCGCTTGAACTTAGACCTTCAGTGTTAAATGGTGGAGCTTAGACTCGGGTTGAGCTCAAGAGCTTAGACCTTTACTGCTGAGCTCTGGGGTATGGGTCATAACATTTGAAATCTGGTCTAGAAAGATGAATTTTACTTTCCAGAAACTTTTATTCTTTTGCTGGCAATAAATATTTAAATACAAACAGAAATAAACTTGTCTAACAGTCAAACATACAGACCAGCAGAACAGAGAATAACGTAGACTGCAAGTACTTATACAAGTAACACAGAGAATAAAGTAGACTGCAAGTACTTATACAAGTAGAACAGAGAATAAAGTATACTTTACTTATACAAGCAGAATATAGACTAAAGTAAAACTAAACAAAAGGGCCGTAAGCATGTACCTCGGCTGTCCAGTGTATGTACACACCTGTTGTGGTCGTCTAATAATACTTTTCAGGAATTAAAGTTATCAAATCCTTCGACTTCTGACCAAAATATAGCCAATGTTATTCTATAATTCATGCCTTTATACTTACGTGCAATTTTTTTACATGCAATGTTTTATGTGCAATATTATTTAAACTGCAATATTTTATTTCTATACCTGATCTATTTTTACACATATGTATAATACTGTGCAATCATTTTAAGGATTACTGTTAAAAACTGTTAGCATTAAATGGCCTCCATTCCTATACATGATAATAATCCTTTACATTTTATTTTTATTTTTTAGAAATATTACCACCGTTGTTTACATTGAGTTGCCTACCCTGTTTATGCAAATATAGTTGCCTCTCTTGTTGCCTTTTTTTTTAACTATGAAATTGCCTCTTCTATTTTAAATTGTTGTTAAAATACTAATTGCCTCCCTTGGTGTAAAAATAGTAGTCGCCTCCCCTGTTGTTTAAAATAGATTTTATCCCCCTTTAGTTTATTCAGCGCCTGTACCCTCCCGTGCCTGATATAACAGCATTGGTTGTGTTTGTAGATCTTCCTCCAAACTTGGTGTGATTTATTCAGGATTAAATGCACTGACAAAAACCAAATGGTTTTGTTTTTATTGTGACGTTCTTTATATATATATATATATATATATATATATATATATATATATATATATATATATATATATATATATATATATATATATATATATATATATATATGTATATATAGACTGTGTTTGTATGTTAATGACGAATATTTGTATATTGAGAAACAAAAAACAAATACACTTGGTCAGTATTGGTTTATATTCCTAAGGGTTACATTTTTATACAAAAAATTAAATTGGTGACAAGAAACATCAAGATTAGTTAATTTTTTAACTATACGTAAAGCACACACAAACAAATGATCTCTTGATGCTTGAAAGTCAGGACTGTTGCCAATTGTTTGGGAGAGAGAACAATGTTCTGCCCGGAAAGCGCGGTTTTAAAAGAAAAATCACTCATAAGGACTATACACGGAAACTGGGATTATAAGAAAAGTTTTGCGGTAAACTTAGCGCAGTAGATTTGCTTAGATTGAGGAGAGTCTACTATTTTATTCTGCCGTTAAAAAAAAAACAAAAAAAACAACTACACCTTGAGTTTATTAGGGCGTCGATCTGCTGATGTAAGTTTACGAAATATTTACGAGAAAGCAAATTATTTTTACCATTTACAAGTTCAGTAAAATCTTCTATTGAAATTGACGTATAAAGTTCTGAAGCTGGCACTAATATCCACGATTAATTGAAACAGGACTTAAAGTTGGTTTTAGTTTGGATTTATGTGAACTTTACATTTGAATTTCTATTAGATTTTAATAATTAGATAAAACTTGATCTTTGATTGAGCTTTTGTAACAATAAGCTACACAATATTTTAATTTAGAAATGCTGTAGCTTTAAGAGATGGTTTTTATGTTAGTATTTGTGTTAGGTTATTGCCCTTTTTATGGCCAGGGCAGCGCCTGACCGTGACGGCTAATTTATAATGTTATCATGTAGTTATTGTGACGCACAATCAAATTCCGCTAACACATACACGCACCCATACGAACTAATTATTGGCTGCACATATCCATTTCGAGAATATATTCACAAGATAAAAGTCAGTCAATGAATCTGTTGAGCATCTTTGATGTAAAATATTTTCTCAATAATAAATTGAACGATTGATCAAAACGACTAAAGCTCAATATTAAATGACGACAACATTTGGTTCACCTTGATTCCTTTGTTGTACTGAAATTCCGTCGTGTCGAAACTGTCGAGCAAAATCTCATCTATGTCTACCGAACCGTTTTTTTTTTTAATCTTGACACCAAGTTCTAGACCAAAGACAATACATTCCCAGGTCGTGTAGATTTTCTTGTCTAGAGTTTTGTTATAAGTGTAAATGCAGTTTCATTTCAATGATTAATTTAATAAAAAAAAAAAAAAAAAAAAAAAACAAACACATTTAACTTACGTCCATGTGAACACTAATTCTTTTTATAATGGTCAGAGATTATTCCAAGGGGACGCTATCATTAAAAAAAAGTATAACTGTTGATATTTTATTGGTTGCTCCCCTTTAAATTTAAAATTCTTTATTATAGCCTTAATTTCGTGAATAAAATATATTGTTAATTTTCTACTTTAGAAAAATTATAAAAAACTCATCACACACTCACTCATGCACACACACACACGCAAACTGACGAAAACACACACAACAACAATACTCACACAAGTACAAAGGTTCAGCGGCGTCGCTAGGTCGAGTGTCACCCTGTGCGGCACCTCATGGTGTAACCTCCCAAACAAAAGAAAAAGGTATAGGATATATATATATATATATATATATATATATATATATATATATATATATATATATGGACTGTGTTTGTATGTTTATGACGAATATTTGTATTTTGAGAAACAAAAAACAACTACACTTGGTCACTATTGGTTTATATTCCTAAGGGTTACATTTTTATACAAAAAATTAAATTGGTGACTAGAAACATCAAGATTAGTTAATTTTTTGACTATACGTAAAGCACACACAAACAAATGATCTCTTGATGCTTGAAAGTCTAGACTGTTGTCCATTGTTTGGGAGAGAGAACAATGTTCTGCATGGTGTCACCCCACCCTGGTCAATGATGGCTAATCAATTACTGAACATATTTTGTAGATCTACCAACAGAGTACCCACGAATTTCGTGATTCTCTTCTTATTTTTCGTACAGTTAAGAAGTCTCTACTTGTTATTTAAATTGATTATAATTATTTTTTAATGACGTATTTTGGGAATCAAAATTTTGTGTTTGTGTGTTTTTGTCTCCCCTGAACCATTTGCACGATAAAGCTTTGAGCAAATGTGTTGATTATGCTAAGTCCAGTAACCGCGTAAATTTATGTTTTTATTGGTTTATCAGGAGTTGTATGCTCTTGAAATGATGTTGATGACGCTATACGCCAGTGAAGAGAGTTGTTGCGTTGGACCATCCATAACATTTGTATGTTGGGATCAGTAGGGGGGGGGGGGGGGTGACAGCTGGAGGGAGGTACAGTGTGGGATTACATAGCGGCAGGGGATTGTTATGGCATACAGCCAGCACAAACCTTTTACATGTGAATCTGTGAGTACTATGATGGGGGGGGGGGGGGGTGGGGGGGGGGGGACACGACGGACTTGTATGCAAATACTAGAAATCATTTTGTCGCCACTTGTAGCACCAGATTATTTTTCTTGTCAGCTGATCAACTTGTCAAATCTCTCACATCGTCAAGAGACCATTCTCTTGTGTGCCCTGACCTGTCCCCTTCCCCACCCCCACATACACATTATTCCACCCCTACCTCCTACATAAACACTACATCCCACCCCCGTCCGCCTCATCCCACCCCCATAAACAGTAAATGAAATCACTGCTGTACCCTAACACGACAGAGGGAGTCACGTGATTTGCTGGGACGATACCACGGGACCTCGAGAAATTGATTTCCTCAAATTGGAGAAAATTTTGAGCATTTTCTTACAGACACGCGTCTTGCCGCGAAGTGGAATCAAAATATTTGGCTGTAGACAGAAATAACAAACACTAGTCGATAAAGATGATTTTAAGCCTTAACAAACTAACCACGTCATTAAACTTAATCCTCAATTCCTTAATTCATTTACCTTTAATCTTCAATTCGTTAATTAATTTAATGTTAATCCTCCATTCGTTAATTCATTTAACTTTAATCCTCAATTAGTTCAATCATTTAACTGATGATTCATTGCTCGCAACTCTAAAACTTGTTTTTACACCCAAAACATTTTCCCCCGAACTTGGAAAATGGACTGAAGTTGATACGGAAATATTGGACCAATGACTGGCCACGACACTCCTTAGACCTAAGTGTACACACATTGGTCAGGACACTCCTTAGTGTACACACATTGGCCACGACACTCCTTAGGCCTAAGTGTACACACATTGGTCAGGACACTCCTTA